AATTAATTATTGACACATTTAATTATTTATTTAATGCTGTATTAATTTATTTAATTTTGGCACTTTTTATCCTCCATACAGTAGATGATGTTTAGATAGGTTTTATATATTCCTATTTACAAGTTTCAGACACAAATCACCTTCCTACTCTAGGCTTCTAATAGATCCTCAAATGAGAACATTTGGTATTTATTCTGTTATTTTTTGTTAACATTTAAAACTTCAACATTCTTCTACTAGGTACCTTGATCAAGCTGAAAAGACGTCCCTAATATTCAGCCAACAAATCCTGACAAAATATTTTTTTTTACATGAAACCGATTTGTGCAAGTGCATCTAAATAAATTAAAATATATTCATAATAAGGGGACGAGGTTGATAGTTTAGTCTTAAAGCTGCTGCAAACCAAAATTACAGTTTCTGAGAACATTAATAAATTGCATTAACCAATTATAAAAGCTTATTAGAAATAGAAACATGATGTTTTGATCCTCACCAAAGTATCATATTTCTGTATACAAAATCAAAGAAAGACCACTGATAACGTAAATAAAAACGTCAATACTGTATGTGCTTTTTACAATTAAAAAACAAACAAAACAAAAAAATCTGGCATTGTAAAAACTATACTGTATTTGGTTATTTAACCCTTTAAAATATGTTCTGGTTCATCAGAAATAATAATAATCAAACAAAAAAAACACATAAACAAGCCTGATGGATCTCCTTAACTAAAATAAAGCTTAATGAAGATGTTGACTTTCCAGCACGGATTTTCTGCCCTTTTTTCCATCTTCACCGGGTTTGGTTTAAAGAAAGCATTTTAGTTTTATTATAATTTAGTTTGTTGCAAGGATTTTACAGTTTGAAGGAATAGAAAATAAAATCCTTTTACCAACCGTCACAAGGATGTGCATGACAAGGAAGGGCTATATATACTGCATGCATCATTTAGGTAGTTAACATTGGATTACTTCTTGAGCTCCTTGACTTATTTACTGTCACAGGTAGGAGCTTCAGCTGGAGAGTACATTTTGGGGCAGGTATGATTTTAGGTAGCCTCGTGAGACCATCCTGATCT